CACTGCACTCCAGTCTGGGCGACCAAGTGAGACTCCAACTCAAAAAAAAAAAAATAAAATAAAATAATGCTGATTGCTTCATCAAGGACATTCTTATGCAAAACTTTTACAAACTTGCGAGTGTCAGGTGCGGTGACTTATGTCTGTAGTCCCAGCCTTTGGGAGGCTGAGGTGAGTGGACTGCCTGAGCCCACGGGTTTGAGACTTGCCTGGGACACTTGGCAAGACCTCATCTCTACAATAAATAAAAAATTAGCCGAGCGTGGTAGCGCGTCCCTGTAGCTCCAGCTACTTGGAAAGTTGAGGCGGAAGGAAGCAAGTCACGGGTGGCTGTGAGCATGCCACTGCAGTTCACCCTGGGCGACAGAGTGAGACTCCTACTCAAAAAACAAATAAATAGATAAAAATTAAAAAATTGTGAGTGTGTGGTAGTGAAGAATACCACATCTAGTCATAGCTGTGGGTTTGTGGCCTGGATGTGTGCTGAGGCACCAGCAATTTTACCCAACATCAGTGCAAATGTCACCACAGTAAAAAAAAAGCAAAAAAACAAAAACTCAACAAAACTGCTTAGTGTGACTAGGAAAATAGCTTTGGGTCCTGGATACATTGAAAGAAACTTGGGGATGTCAGGGGTCCAGAAACCACACTTTGAGAACCACTGACCTAGAGACCTGATCAAACTCAGGCGTGAACTCAACTATTTGAAGGCAAGGTCTGTTCCTGTTTAGTAGAGTCTAAATGTTCAGTGATCTAAATTCACACTGAAGATGTGTCCTCTTTTCTATGAATTCAGACTAAACATTCTTTCTAAGACCGAGGTATTTCGAGGTTACTGAAGCTTTTTCTTTTTTACATTGAAAAGAATCTAAGTTCCTAACCTTAAGCAGCTAAATAACAGATCACATACAGGGTCACATAGAACAACTTAGCTGCAGAGTGTTGCACTTTCCAGGGACCGTTCTTAGCAATTATTTCCAGAGCAGAGCCTTCAAAGCAATTTCCAGAGCCAGCTGTCACAAACATGCACAGCCCGGTGGAAGCCTCAGGCTTACTGGGCCGTTTTGCCTCCTGCTTCTCTTCTTTCTTTCTCTCCAGTCTTTCTTTCTTTCCCATCTGGTTCCTCGGTTAATGCAATGGCTGAAAGGCTTGTCCCCTATGTCCCCTACTCTCCATCACTCTTGTTCAGGAAGGACCTCTTTTTCACAGTGGTCAAAACGTATTATCCACGGGGTAAATATTTGGTTTTTGTTTCTTTTTTCTCTATTATAAAGATGTGGGGTACAAGTCAGGGCTGGGTCTGCAAACGTTGACCATGCAGGCGCCCTTGGTGATGAGGTGTGCCCCTCCCTCCCCTGGCAGTTTCCCTCAACTGCCAATCCCAATCCCCATCCCCTGGCAGTTTCCCACTACTGCCAATCCCTTTCTTATAGTATTATGATAATTGTTCAGGGTCCGCTTATGAGTGAAAACATATGGAACTCTGTTCTTTGTTTCTGTGATCGATCACTGAGTATGATCGACTCTAAATCCATCCAAGTTGCTGCAGTCCATATGCTTATCCTTCTTTGTGGCAGCATAATATTCCATCGTGTATATGTACCACAATTTTTTTATATACCCAGAGGAACTCAAATCATTCTACAAAAAAGATGCCTGTTTGTCGCTGCTCTATTCACAATAGCAAAAACATGGAACCAATCATGTTGCCCATCAAAGCTGGACAGGTTAGATATTTGAAGGTAAAACATTATGGAACAAAACTGGGAAACCACATCAGAAACGGGAATGTAAGAATATGTATGGGCTGGGCTCAGTGGCTCAGCCTGTAATCTCAGCACTTTGGGTGACCAAGGCAAGTGGACTGCCTGAGCCTGCGGGTTCGAGACCTGCCAGGGTAACTTGGCGAGACCACGTCTCTACAATAAAATAAAAAACTAGCTGGGTGTGGTAGCTCACGCCTGTAGTTCCAGCTACTTGGAAGGCTGAGGTGGAAGGATCGCCGGGGCCCAGCAGGTTGAGGCTGTGGTGGCTGGGAGTGGCCACTGCACTCCAGTCTGGGCAACAGAGAGACTCCAACTCAAAAAAAAAAAACAAAAACGTATACAGAACACAAAAGATCTGGAATCAGGGGATATGGATTTGAGGTTCAGCTTCTGCTGTCATTTTAGCTTATCTAACTTCAAGGACTTGTTTTTGCAATTAGCGTGACTGCCACCCCACCCTTATGCCAAGCTTACTTCAGTTGCAGAAATAATGCACATGAGCTAATACACATTCTATTTTATAGCAATACCTTTTATAGAATACATTTCAATCAGTAATAAAACTGGAGAGCTTTCAATGGAAGGGAAAAACAAAACAAAACAAAAAACTCCTAACAGGATCCAAAGAAGTCTTGACTCTGGAATCACCGCCCTGCAAATTCCTCCCACCTGGGACTTCTGGACTGAGAGAGAGTCTAATCCCTAAAACGCTGTTCCTGTTGTAATTCCTCTTTTTCCTTGGATATATGCAAGAGTGACTTCGCCTTGAAGACTGACTACTAATGATGTACAACAGAAAGGGTATCAGGTATCATACCAGTTTTCATGCTGTTTACATGTTCACACTGGACTTACTTAAAATAAATACAACCTGTGGCTTGTTATTATATTTCGTTCCAGGTGTTGTTTCTCCAGGTATGCCTGTGGCAGCACTGTGGCAGCACTGTGGCACAGAAAGAGAAATGGACTGGGAATTTGGGACACTGATTTCTCGTGTTGGTTCTATTATTAAATGAGTATTTAATCTTGGTCAGACTTCTGTGGTTTTTCAGACTTAACTCAGTTTAATAAATGAGTCTGGACTAGATATTGTTAAGAGTCCTTCCAGCTAATAATCAAAATATGATTCTAAGTTGTACACCAGAAAATAAATTTATAGGCTAGGTAACATCATATATAAAATATATAATAAAAATTCCTAATTCTAGCTGGCAATCCCTTTGTTCCTTCAAGGTAAAACCACTTGTAACTTTACATATAGGTAATACAAATGCTATAGCAACAGAAATTCCAAATTAAACAGCAAAGGCAGAAGCATTAACTAAAAAAAAATTTACGGTAAATACTACCTTTATTTTAAAAAGTTATACATGCTAGAAAAAAGCATAAATGATACATGTAAACAACTGTTTACCCATTACTTTTTTTTTTTTCCTTGAAAAAGGTGCAAATGATCTTTAAATGTAAACACAAAAGTAGCCAAACAATTTTGTAATAGAGGACAGGGAGAAGGAGTGTGTTTGGATGTGGTTAGTTTTATTCAAAGTTTTATTCAAAGATTTTCCTGCAAAATAGATCGAAAAACATCTGTCTATGAATACAATGAGAAAAAAAAGTTTTAACCATTGAAACTGTTATCATTTTTTTCCTTAAAAATTTTGACTTTTCACCAGAAAATGCAGTTAGAGAGAAATAGTAACAGCAACCTTACAGAAGGAGATAATGAAATATTATTTATATAAAAGAACCTAGATATTAATAAAATGCCTCAATGGGTTTTACACTCATTCACATGTACTTTTCATGAGCTGAAGAATTCATTCTCTTGGAGGCTGTTACTAAAGGTAGGTCTCAGCTTCACCAGGCCTGAATATCAAGTGTAACTGTGTAACATAATTAACTGCAGGGGTGGGGGGTGGGAGTGGGGGAGGGAGGACATTTTTCCCTGCTGGTCCTTGGTAGCAATAAGGAAACAGGAATGAAAGTTGCTTCAGGTGGTCACATTTTGAGCAAAAGCTCTTGCAGAGTTGCATGTGATTCTCTTAGGGGCTCCCAAGACAGCATATGAGACTCATGAATTGCTTTTATGTGAGGCAAAGCTCTAGATGTAGCAAAAACTCTATGAGAGTTTAAGAGACAAGACTTTAAATATTGTGGCAAACAAGTTCATACAGAAGGAAATACCATGTAAAATTTCACTGATGAAACTGTAGCATCTGAGTCCTGGTTTTTACTGATTTAATATTTCTTCTGATTATACTATTTAAAATGATGTTTCTGGCCAGGGGTGGTGGCTCAAGCCTGTAGTCCCAGCACTTTAGGAGGCTGAGGTGAGGGGATTGCTTGAGCTCAGGGGTTCAAGAACAGCCTGGGCAACTTGGCAAGACCTCATCTCTACAATACATCAAAAAATGAGCCAGGCATGGTAGCGCATGCCTGTAGTTTTGGCTACTTGGAAACCTGAGGCGGAAGGCAGGTCGACGCTGGGGGGTGGCCGTGAGCATGCCACTGCACTTCAGCCTGGACAACGGAGTGAGACTGCAACTCAAAAAAAAAAAAAATGTTTCCTTTTTTTGTTTGTCCTTGTAGATTTTCAAGTCTTCTGTAGTTTAGTCCAAGAATACGACTAGCTAATACATTCTGTATACCTAAATTTGTGACTGGTAATCCTTATAAGTAGTGGAGTCATGTGGATGGAGTGTTTAGAAATAGCAACCAGACCATACACAGCCCTTCTGCCCTCCATATTAGTATTTTCAAACTTAAATCAATACCTTAAAAACTAAGTTTTGCTTCTTGGAATCATTTTCTTTTTTTTTTATGGAAGGGAAGATAAATCCAAAACAAAAACAAAGAAGCAAACAAAAACACATGATAAATTAAAACCAAAAATAAATATTCTTCTGCATAGAGTTGAAAATTATTGTGCAAAGGTGGTATCTTACAAGTGAAGTACTTCCAATGAATTGTATTTCTACATGCTGAGGCACTGGCAAAGAATAAAAGGTGTTCTCATGTTTTCTCAAGCTGTACAAAGCTCCAAAGTCAAAGCTCCCAGAATATAGAGGAGCATATCCAAGACTGTCTTCTACATGCTCACCATATGTGAGATTCACAATGTGTCATTTTAATAACTCCTACGCCACCCCCTAGGCGACGGTAATTCATCCCGCCATATAACCTGCAAAGAAAGAAACAAAATCAGATTTTCTAACTAGAAAAAAGTAGTTTCTTCTATAATCAAGCACATATTCATATGTTTCACATCAAAACTAATATTTTCAATTTCATATTAATATTTTCTTCTGAAGATTAGAAGCTGCAGGTGAGTACTATAAGTAGCAGAATTATTTCAGACACTGACTGAGATGCTCTTACTTGCAAGAGACTGGGAGAAAATAAGAGAGCATCACATTCACTTTCTGTGTCAGAACTTTACAAGTGTATAACCTAGACTGACTTCTAACAATTAGACAGACTCATATGTTCTACACTTTTGTTCCTATATTATTGTACCATCCACATTTTCCTTCTGTTTCCTCATAATATTAGACAATATTTCCTCAATACTAGATAATCAGCTGTGAGGTAAAATTAGTTTTTAAGCTGGGGATACGTAACGGCAAAAACTTAAATATTAATCTCTCAACAGATGATCCTCAAGAATTTTTTCTTTTTTGAGTCGGAGTCTCACTCTGTTGCCCAGGCGGGAGTGCAGTGACACATTCATGGCCTCCGCAGCCTCAACCTGCTGGGCTCAGGTGATCCTTCCACCTCAGTCTTCCAAGTAGCTGGAACTGCAGGCGCACGCCACCACGCCCAGCTTATTTTTTTATTTGTTGTAGAGACAAGGTCTCCCCAAGTTGCCCAGGCTGATCTCGAACTCCTGGTCTCAGGCAATCCTTGCCTTGGCCTCCCAAAGTGCTGGGATTACAGGCTTGAGCCACCACGCCCAGTTAAGAATTTTATGAATGTTACTTTGTTATATATTACTAACTCTATTCAGTGACAATTACTGAGAAATAAGGCTCTAGGTAAGATTATAGTGACTAAGTGGCAGAAGTAATTCTGGCTGTCTTCTCCAATTATGCTTACTCAACATTCCCACTAAAAATACAAAGCCGTATGAGGAAGAAAATATCCCACATATGGGAGACTGCTGTTCACGAGAATGGTCTTGATCAACCTTTGCCTCCTCCAGCTCGCTCACATGTTCCCTTTTCAGTGAGGCTTTCCCTGGCACCTTCTAAAACAGATCCACTCCCTGTGCTGCATCTCCCTCCCTACAATGACAGCTCCAGAAAGATGAGGGATTTTGTTTTGTTCATGTTTGTATCACCAGGGCCTAGAACACAGTAAATCTTTATGTAATGAAGACGGCTGCAAAATGTGGTACAGGAGCAAAACGTACTGTGCTGTCACGAGCCTGACTTCAGTTTTGCAACCACTGAGCCATACAGAGCCACGAGAGATATGTAGAACCAAAGTCTGGCATTTCAAGATCTGGAAGAGTGTGGTTTCCCAGAGATAGACTACAGCTGAATCTAAGAGGACGATATAAAAAACAAAACAAAACAAAAAAACAAAAAAACTGGGTGAATAGTTGCAGGCTCATAATCAGGAAATGTTAAGCTGGATGTGGTGGCTCACGCCTAGAATCCCAGCACTTTGGGAGGCTGATGTGAGAGGAATGTTTGAGGCCAGGAGCTTGAGGCCAGCCTAGGAAACACAGCTAGACCTCATCTCTACAAACAAACAAACAAAAAATTAGCTGAGCACTGTGGCATGCGCCCGTAGTCCCAGCTACTCGGGAGGCTGAGGCAGAAGGATCGACTGAGCCCAGAAGGTCAAGGCTGTGGTAAGCTGTGACTGTGCCACTGCACTCCCGACTGGGTGACAGAGTGAGACTCTGACTAAAAAAAAAAAAGAAAAAGAAAAAAAATTAGGGAATGTTGCATTAGAATACAGTGAGAATGGACTAGAAGATGCCTCTTTTAAAATAGTAACTATAAACAGAGCTCAGCTTATCCTTCGTGGTCATGAAAAACCCTTTCCAGAATGTCCACTGCCTCAGGCCTCATATTCAGATTGGCATCTCTGGTTGATGTGCAACTTGAACCACTGAGATGGTAACCCTAGACTTGCATAGGCAAGTAAGACAGTATTGCAAGAAAGCAAGTTCAACTTCCTTGGATGGCAAAACTGTTTTCTTAGGAACTAGTATTTAGAATTCAGGACAGATATGAAGTACACCAGGCTCATAGTATTAATATTTTTAAAGTTTGGGAATTTATATATTTGGCACTTTAAGTTCTTCTAAAGTTTAAGAGAATTTGGTATTTGAGTGCATCTATTGGATTTGTCTTGTAAGTCTATTATAAAATATATGATTAAATAAAGATTTAGATTTAGCCGGGCTCGGTGGCTCAGCCTGTAATCCCGCGCCTTGGGAGGCTGAGGTGAGTGAACTGCCTGAGCCTGCGGGTTTGAGACCCGCCTGGGCAACTTGGTGAGACCTCATCTCTACAATAAATCAAAAAAAAAATTAGCCGGGCGTGGTAGCAGGCGCCTGTAGTTCCAGCTACTTGGAAGGCCGAGGCGGAAGGATCGCCAGAGCCCAGTAGGTCGAGGCTGCGGTGGCCGGGAGCGGCCACTGAACTCCAGTCTGGGTGACAGAGTGAGACTCCAACTAAAAAAAAAAAAAAAAAAAAAGATTTAGACTTAATGATTCTGTTGAAAGATTTAAATAAATTTTGCTAAGTTTGTAAGCGTTTTTGAATATTTAAATAAATACACCTGTAATTCTAGCACTTTGGGAGGCCAAGGTAGGAGGACTGCTTGAATCCAGAAGTTCAAGACCAGCCTAGGCAACATAGAAAGACCTCATATCTACAAAAATAAAAAAATTAGCTGCATGGGGTGGTGCATGCCTGTAATTTCAGTTATTTGGGAGGCTGAGATGGGAAGATTGCCTGAGTCCAGGAGATCGAGGCTGCAGTGAGCCATGATTGTGCCAATGTACTCCAGCCTGTGCAACAGAGTGAGACCCCAACACACACAAAAATAAATAAATGCAAGAGTCACTTGATTTGTGTGAATTTATAAGGACTACTTAAGTACTTAGAAAGGAATTAAAATTAAGGATTTAAGAGCAAAGTAAAATTATGAGGTTTATGTTCTCAGTTAAGTTCTCTTTTATAAGATAGAGCCGCCTCCCTCAAAATGACTTAAAATGGTTTTAAAATGAAAAAAAAAAATTTTTTTTTTTTTGAGTCGAAGTCTCACTCTGTCACCCAGGCTGGAGTGCAGTGGCACACTCAACAGCCACCCCAGTGTCGACCTGCTGGGCTCTGGCCATCCTTCCACCTTAGCCTTCCAAGTAGCTGGAACTACAGGCACGCACCACCATGCCCAGCTAATTTTTTGATTTATTGTAGAGATGAGGTTTTGCCAAGTTGCCCAGACTGGTCTCAAACCTGCGGGCTCAGGCAATCCTCTCACTTGGCTCCCCAAAGTGCTGGGATTATAGGAGTGAGCCACCGCACCTGGCCCAAAATATTATTTTTTAAGAAGTAACTGCAATTTGTTTCTCCAGGGCATAGGCTTAACACAAGAACACCAAAAAAACTGCATGGACATACTAGGAGCCAAAGACCTAGGTTCTAATTCTTAACTCTGCCACTAACTCATTTAGGCTAGTCATTTGCTGTCTCAGTGCCCTAGTGTCTTCAGCTGACCATGATAGGGCTAAAAAGGAGATTTCTTTCCTGTTTTCCCCATCTCTTAGTATAAATCTGGACAGTTACCAAAGAGAAGAAGTTTTTAAGGCATCAGCCGCTTCAGAGCAATCAAGTCAAAATGAGCCATCGAACTTCAAGTCTCTCTGAAGTCCTGCAAGAGGCACTTCAATGTGCTGACCACCCCAATTTTGATGAGCACGAGCTTGCTCCAGCACATGATTTCCAAGTCAGTAGTGAGCTGATCTGCAACACAGCTTAAAAGTTACCTCCATGTATTGGCATCAGGATCAAAAACTTCAATGGTCTTCAAGTATGTCGTGCCATCAAAACCTCCCACTGCCATGAGCTGTCCGTTCACCACAGCCAGGCCAACCTACAACCAAGCACAGTGGCTGCTGAAGAAACCATGTCTGGTTACCGAGAAATTTTAGACTAGTTTCTAGACAAATCTCTTTAATAAAAGATAATTCTTTACAGATTTACATTTTGTTTATTTGAACACAGAGGGAAAATGTAACAACAAAAATCCATTAAATTATGGGAACTATAAAATTACACATTTGATTTGGAATATTTACACAAATTTAAGAAATGTATGTTAAAGATTTTGTTGCCAAAACACACATGTCTTACATTTCAGAAAACATATTCACTAGGAGGAAGCAAGAACCTCCCCACTGTTCTTACTTCCCCTGGCATCTCCCCACTCTAATCCACCTTCTGAATTGCTACTAAAACTCTTTTAAAAATACAAATCTAATCGTGTGACTTTCCCTTTTAAAAACGTTCTAACCCTCCTACCGCCTAAGGACAAGCTTAGAGTTCTTACGTAGCTCAGGTTCTCCAGAGATGTGTCTTCACCACTGCCAGAGCCTCACCTCCTGTTGCCCCTCCTCCTTTTAATGCAACCCAGGCTGCAGTAGGACTAACCAACCACTAGTCTCCGAAAATACCCTGTGCTTTGCATACTTCCACACTTCTCTACCTAGTGTTCTTTTCTGTTCCTCTTCTAGAAAACCTTATTCTTCCTTTATGACTTAGCATGTGACTATCTTTGGTAGCTGTTTCACTGCCCCCAAGCCTTTCTTACTCCCCAAAGCAGTAAGCACATTCTCCCATGTTCTATAACATACATGCCACCACTAAAGAGTTTATTTATTATAGTTAGCTATAAACATCCCAACTTCCTTCACTAAATTGGGCATGGTGGCTCACACCTATAATCCCAGCACTTTGGGAGGCTGAGGTAGGAGGATTGCTTGAGCCTAGGAGTCTGAGACTAGCCTAAGAAACATAGTGAGTCTTTGTCTCTACAAGAAAAAAAAAAAAAAAATTAGCCAGATATCACGGTGTGCACTTGTAGTCCCAGCTACTTGGGAGGCTGAGCCCAGGAGGTCAACCCTCATAGGTGAGCCATAATGATGCCAATGCACTCTAGCCTGGGCAACAGAGTGACACCCCCACTCAATAAATAAATAAAAATAAATAAAAATGAATAGAGAACTCCTTGAGGACACAAATTGCATCATACTTGCTTTTGCTTTCCCAGCATACAGTGAACACTTAATATTTGCTAAGTGTGTAAAAATATAATCAACAGAATGTATAGTGAAAATAACAGAAATGTGATTAGGATGCTGTTGCCAGTAACAAAACGTCACAACTATGTGAGTGAACGCCTTGCCTGCTGATGCCTTCCAGTGGTGCTCCTTGATTTATGCAAACCAGAATCCACTGCCTTGGATCCTCCAGTCATGGAGTCTTCAGCTACTGCTTGCTTCTCCTCCCTGTTGTTCGTGTGCCCTACAATGATGGACTCCTGACACCATCAGCAGTTAACGAGTTACATCTCTAAACAGCGGATTCGAAACTTCACCTGGAAGTCTCTCAGTCACAGAACATCCATGGTCCAGCCTGATCTGGTGTATGCTAGAGATGGAGTAGATTCAAACCAGCTTATGGAGGCTGGGAGGTGGGTGAGCAGGAGATGTGGTTTTGCCTAAACATTTGCATCAGTGTGCCTACTACTTAGAATATTAGCTAAAGCCAGGCACAGTGGCCCACACCTATAATCCCAGCACTCTGGGAAACCAAGGTGGGAGGACTCTTTATTTATATATTTATGTATTTATTTATTATTTTTAAAATGTGGGGAATAATTCAGGATTAGGTAGATGAGTGGTTCCTGTACAAGTAAAGTTTGGGCCTCCCTTTGGTCCCTACTTTGCCTGGTTTGAGATCTGGTACCCTTAAACTCTTTTTAAAAATTTAGTAGGAGTCTCACTCTGCTGCCCACGCTGGAGTCCAGTGGCACGCTCACAGTCAATGCAGCCTTGACCTGCTGGGCTCAGGTGATCCTTCCACCTCAGTCTTCCAAGTAGCTGGAAGCACAGGCATGCACCACCATGCCCAGTTAATTTTTTAATTTTTTGTAGAGACGAGGTCTTGCCAAATTGCCCAGGCTGGTCTCAAAGCCTTGGACTCAGTCATCCTCTTGCCTCCGCCTCCCAAAGTGCTGGGATTACAGGTGTGAGCCACTGCACCCGGCTAGGAAGACTCTTGAGCTCAGGGGTTCGAGACTAGCCTTGGCAATATAGCAGGACTTTGTCTTTACAAAAAATTAAAAAACTAGTCAGGCATGGTGGCACATGCCTATAGTCTCAGCTACTCAGGAAGCTGAAACAGGCGAATCACTTGAGCCCTGGAGTTTGAGGCTGTGGTAAGCAGTGATTGTGCCGCTGCATTTCAGCCTGGGTGACAGAGTGATTAAAAAAAAAAAATGCTAGAAACTTTAGGTAGGAATATTTAGCTATATAGGGAGATCCTTTCAAAGAAGCAACTAGTAGAAGATAAATCATAAAAAATTAATTCTCTAATTAAAGATATAACTGGACATAAAGTTTTTTAAAAATTTTTTTGAGTTGGGCCTCACGCTATCACCAGGCTGGAATGCAGTGGCACCATCTCAGCTCCCCATAGCCTCAGTCTCCTTGGTCTCCTGGTGATCCTTCTGCCTAGCCTCCCAAATGCTGCGACTATAGGCATGCACCACCATGCCTGTCTTAGTTTTGATTTTTTTAGATGCCGGGTCTCGCCATATTACCTAGGCTGGTCTTGAACTCCTGGGTTCAAGCAATCCTCCCACTTCTGCTTCCCAAAGTGCTGGGATGACAGGTATGAGCCACCATGCCTG